TAACAATCGATCGCTTCTAGAAGGCAAAAATCTGTCGGAATAAACGATATTGTTATAAAGAGGTTTGATTACATAAAACACAAAGATATATAATAAAAACATAAAAGATACTATATATCATGTAATTACTTGCATATATTAATATCTTTCGAACATATATTAAATTATAAAACTTACTAATAATCTTTAAATTGGATCAATTATTTAACGTATAGACAAATAGAAAAAAAAATTATAAAAGAAAATCTCGCATCGCATAATATAGTTATTGGGCCTGTGCACCTTCACTAGTATATGTATGTGTGGAAATTTTGACCGAATATAAAAATAAAATAATAGAGTAATAATAATAAAAAAAGAAATCAACAAAAATAAGATTATATGGTGAATTGCCCGTATAAACTTTTCTCATGATAAGTCAAAGAACAAGAAGAAAGTTAAACACATAAACACAATGTGATTGTATCTAAGTTCAATGCATGGACCACAGACGATCAAATGAGAAAAATAATTTACAAAGGAAAAAAGTTAAATATTAAAATAAGGTATATCGTTTATATTGTATCTCTTAATTATCAAATGAAAAAATTATTAAGGAATATATCAATATAATGCCAAACAAATGGTGGGTCACCTAAAGTTAATTCAAGTATTAACATCGAATGATGTGGTGTGATGATAAATGCTTTTTGCAAGGGTATTTTTACCTTTCTATACACTATTTAAAATCATATTACCCTACCTACTCAAGTTTCAATTTAATTACATGGTCATATACAATTTACCAATTATATACAAATAAGTTTTAAATGAGTATCCCTTTATATTAGGAAGAATAAGGAATATCAGTTATTTCCAAATCCCTTTATACTTGCCACTCTCTCTAATCCCCGTCTCTCTCTCCTTCTCTGTTTCCCCCCAATTATTCTTCATTTGATATTCTCTGTTTTTTTATGCTTTCTTGTTGTATAGAATTTTAATAAAATTTATCAATGAATTTCAATCGTTTTAACTTAGCAAGTTCCTTTCATGTTGCACAATTGGTATTCAAATTGAAATTGTCAATCAATAAATTTTGAAGGTGTTTGACTCTCCATCATTGACAGCCATTCAAAAACTTTGAAGCCTTGAAATCAAATTTGAATTTTCAAAAACCATTATTTATTTGGATTGGGTGTTGTTGCAGACGAAAAATATTGTTTGGAGTTTATATCTCAATTTTGAGGGTGTTTTGGTGAAGATTAGACTTGATTTTGGATGAATTTCAGATTGAAACTCGAAGAAGAAGAAGAAGAAGAAGAAGAAGAAGACTTGACATACAATATATACGAAATTGTAGTAAAGTTGTATTATAATTGTATGTAAATTATATTTTGTTGTAGTTATACATATTTTTTATTTGAATGCTCTATGAAAGTTAAAAAATAGTTGTATAATGTATGAATCGTTGTATAAAATTTGTATTTAAGTTATCAATACTATCTCTTTACATAAAGTTGTTGATATGTATCAAAATTATATTAAGAGAGTAAGTTTTGATTGGAATTTTAGAGAGGAAGAATCATACACCACAAACAAAATATATACAAATAATATATAAAATATATACAAATCATATACAAAATATATACAAAAGACATATTGTATAAAATTTATATAAAAATTGTATTTAAACTGTATGATATTGTAGTTGTATTTAACTTGGTAAAAATAATGTATGAAAGTTATAGATAAGTTGTAAATAAGTTGTATAATATATAATTAGTTGTATGAAATTTGTTTCTACTATGTATAAATCAAATACAAAATATACAAAAGACATATTGTATAAAATTTGTATAAAAATTATATTTAAGTTGTATGATATTGTAGTTGTATTTAACTTGGCAGAAATAATGTATGAAAGTTATAGATAAGTTGTAAATAAGTTGTATAATATATAATTAGTTGTATGAAATTTATTTTTACTATGTATGTTATTGTAGGTATTCAAATTTGCATTAAATTTGTACGAAATTTATTTTTAATTTGTATGTTGATGTACCATATATTGTTCTTAGAGATAGAGTTTTTATATGTTTAGTTTGAATATAAATATGCAATGAAGTTTAGATTTAGTAGAAGTTTTCTTTTAGATTGTGGTGATGAATAATTGTTGATTCCTTGGGAGACATAATTGTTGCGATTTAGTAGTGTAAGTGTTATGTAAAATGACACGCTTAAGGTAATCCAACATGTCACTTATATCGACGCAAGTATCATTAACATGAAGTCCTATAAACAGAACTATGAGTATTGGACTATCATCCATTTTAGTTGGTTGCATATCTTGCTATCGAGGTTTAGGATTATGGAGATAGCTTCCAAGATATAAGTGACGATGAGGCAGCCCAAGGCTCACATAACAATTCTGGACAGAAATATTTTGAAGCAAATGGTGAGGCAGTCGTGGAATAGTTTAATTCTACTAGCTTGCCTAAACATAGAAGTCTAAGTCCAAATGTTACAGCTTTTAAACCAAGTGGCATAAAAAAAATACACTCTAAGGCAACAGGTTCGAAGGAGATTGAGGTCGCATCAGACGCAATGGTGATACACGACGTCGAAGCTGTTGGAAAGGTAACAAATACAAATGCAATCAATATGAAATTTAACTTGCCCCTACAAATATTCTCCAAGCTCTTGTGTCTCATGACATGGAGACTTTAAAAGATCTTGATAATTCGTGGAATGAGAAAGGAGCACTAGTGGCCGAATACAATCCTTTTGAAGCATTAGGTTCGGATAGGGGGCAAGATTTTTGTGAAGATGGCGAATAGGAAGAACTACTCGACGCACCTTTTAAAAATATAGCTAGGGAGGGAGATCTTTCACCTAGGCAGATAAGAGGTGGATCCAATAAAAACAAGAAGAAGGCCCATGCGAGGCAACATAGTTGGGATGTCAATGTCACACAAGAGGTTGTCATTAGGCAACTTCCAACGAGAGTTGCAAAGAAAAAGGCGGTTGCCCCTACCACCTCCACAAGGTCCTCCAATAGATCAAAAAAGAAATGATGAAGGTTGAACACTCGTTGAAGATAGTCGAAGACAAATACAAGGTGATACAAATTGAAGAATTCATAAGGTTGAAGAAAAACGGACAACAATCAATTTTTTACCTTGTTTTGTTCTATCATTTCATGAGTATTATCATTTGTAATATCATTAGAGAGTATGTTATAAACTCTGTGATGATCATAGAGTACTTAGTTCTTCCTTGTTTGTATTTTCTTCATTCTTACAAGTATATGAGGATTTTCAACACCTCAGCAGGGATTGTAAGGTAAGGTCTAGCGCAGTGTGTGTTTGCTTATGTCCTACGCCTTTGGAAATTATCCACACAACTATGAGTTCATTCACCTTCGTGAGACTATGCCTGCAGCCTTAAATTAGGCTGCAATCAAATGGCAATAGAGGCGCGGCAAGATGACTAAATAGCCAAGGCATAGATGGAGACAACAATACTGTAGGTTCCCCCCCTTACTTGTACTCTTCCTTTGTGGATTTTTCTTTTCTTTTATTATTAATATAACAACTATTAGGCAACATGCCTAGTAGTTATATTTACTAAAAAAAAAGGGTTGGGATCCTTTTGTGGTTGTCGCTTCATCGACATTATCGAAGTCTATAAAAGGGAAAGAGATCAACAATTCCACGCTTATTGAAATTCCAAAAGATGAAGCTACACGGCGGCGGCAACACCGAAACGGAAGATTATAACCATGGAGTATTTGTATTTATATTGGTAATGGTGGTTGAGGAGACAAAATGACCAACATGAATATTCTGGAGAGAAGAGGGGAGAGAGGAGAGAAAAAGGAAAAATGGTGTAACGAAATCCCTTGATTGAAGGCAATAATAATGGATTGAGAGCCTTTTAAGGTGTAATGTATGTAATTTATGAGTAATACTTATTTAGGGCGGGTAATATATAAAATTAGAACAATTTTGATAAATAAGTTTCAAATATTATATAGGAACGAAAAAATCCCTTTTGCAAAGATATCGAGTTTGAGTCTTAAGACTGGAAAATCTTTTCAGTGAATTCTTTACTCCATCATTGGGCCTTGAAAGTATGAATCTAAATTAATTGAACCAATTAGTTTCATACCTCGCATTTAGAAAGGAGACATTTATAACTAGGGGTGGGCGTCGACCAGTTCGTTTTTCATGAAGTTCAGTTTGTTTGGTTAGTTCGGTTTTCGGTTTTCTATTTTGTGCACCAGCACCCGAACCAAAATTAGTTTGGTTTTTTCTAATTCGATTCTGTCGATTTTCGGTGCAATTCGGTTGGTTTGGTCTTGTCGTATTGAGCTTTTAAATCAGACTTTTCTACTAAAAAATATGACTAATTTCATGTTTTAGTGCAACTAAAACTCAAAAATGCGACACTTATAATATAATTAGCCAAATTATTTAGTTGATGTAGGAAATGTAAATTTATTTGACAAATATTACGTACAATATAACTATCTCATAGACAGCAACATCAGCGACGCGCACGCAAACAATGATGAAAGATGCATTGGCAAACAAAAAGGGATAATTTTTAGAACGTGAGACTTTATTTGATTTTGGACTTCAAATTTTATTTTTAATGTAAATATGTGAAAAAGTTGGACTAGACAACTTAAGAGTAGCCCAAAGGCTAGGACCCATATTAGAAAACTTCGATTTTTCTGTTTAACCGAAAAACCGAAGTTGTAAACTCAGCACCGAACCGAATATCAAAATTATAGAAAATATAAATCGCAAACCGACTGAATAAGCCTAAAAACTGAAAGCGAATGAATCGAAGTTTACGGTTCAGTTAATTTTTTCGGTTCGATCGGTATTATGCCTACCCTATTTATATGTATATAAGTATGGAAGACATTCGGGGATGATCTGCAATTATGACAAACACCGGGGAGGATTCACAAAAAAAAAAAAAGAAAAAGGTCTCGCACGTTAAATAGCCCGTCCACCGCGAAAGGGGAGGACCAACACCTTCCGTCTCGGGAGAGAGGGAAACAGCAAATTCTACTTCCCCGTCTGATGCACCATCAATTATACCCCTCCCATCTTTTCTCCAAAACCCTAGTCTAGATTTTCCCTTTCGAAATTCACCACCGTTCTTCCACAAAACCCAATAATTTCACTCCTAATTCATTCAAATCACAAGTATACAACTGCTAATTCTTAAAATCACACTATTCTCAAAAAGCTTCTTACTTTCTCGTTCTTAAACCCTAGTTCTCAAGTCTGTTTACTTCAAAGCTTCGGCTTTTAGGGATAATACAACATGAGTCCCATCCAGAATTTCGAGCAGCATTCTCGTCACCTTCTCGAACCCGACCTCCGTACTTCATTACCTTTACACTTCACTATACTTTTTCCTTCTCTTTGTTTTTGTTAATTTTATGTGTATATTTATCCCTTGTTTTATTGTTCTTTAACAGCAATTCAAACAAGACTACAGATGGCAATGGAGGTACGGGATAGTTTGGAGATAACACACACAGGGGAGTATTTAAATTTTCTTAAATGTTATTTTCGTGCATTTTCCGGTGTTTTATATCAAATTACAAAGCCACAGTTCGCGGACAATCCTGAACATAAGCTGAGGAACATTGTGGTTGAGATACTGAATAGGCTTCCTCATAGTGAAGTCCTAAGACCATTTGTACAGGATCTATTGAAGGTGGCAATGCACGTTCTTACGACGGACAACGAAGAGAATGGCTTAATTTGCATCCGTATTATCTTTGATTTGCTTAGGAACTTCAGGCCTACTTTAGAAAATGAAGTTCAACCCTTTTTGGACTTTGTTTGTAAAATTTACCAGAATTTTAGGGCTACTGTGAGTTATTTCTTTGAGAGTGGGGCGATGGCAGTTCCTCCACCGCCTGCCCCCACTTCGTCTATGTCGTCTTTGGGTGAGTCAGACGTGAAGCCAATGGAGGTGGATCAAATGAGTACTTCTAGTGGGGGGTATTTTGGTGCTGGTCAACTTAATCCCAGTACGAGATCATTTAAGATAGTTACTGAGAGTCCGTTGGTAGTGATGTTTCTGTTTCAGTTATATAGCCGGCTGGTCCAGACGAACATTCCCCATTTGTTGCCCTTGATGGTTTCAGCCATATCAGTGCCAGGTCCTGAGAAGGTGCCTCCTCATTTGAAGACTCACTTTATTGAGCTCAAGGGTGCACAGGTTAAGGTAAGGTTTTCATTCTCTTGAGAATACTCTTTAGCTGTTGAGTAAATTGGTGCAAGTCACCTCCTTTCTAGGCCTATTCTGATAATTAAGGGATTGACAATATCTCGTGACAGTTCTCTGAATTGTTGTCAATGGAGAAAAGAACTTAATTCTATATTTATTCTTGTTCCTTTTCCTTTAGTCTATTTGGCATTGCCTTTATGCTCATTTATGGAGCACCTAGTACATTCTGCTAAGCAATGTCTAGCGGGCTTCTTCTGCCTGTTAGGCTGTCCCTGAGAAGGACTAGAATGCATGGACCATTTTACTCTTTCATTACTGTAATATCCGGAGAGTGTTGGCCCATCAACTATTAGGCCATCAACTTTTGAAGTACTACATGGTACGATTGTCTCCTAAGACGGCCATCATTGTAGGATTAGTAGTCAGAATTGTACTATGTTATCATATATAGCTACCTCTTCTTTTCCAGAGGAACAACATAGGAGTAAAGAGAAAGCATAAGCTTATTTTAATAGTCCTCGTCCCACTTCTTGAAAAATAAATAAATTAATAGTCCTCACTTTTCATCCTTTGGTTGGTAAAGTCTTATTTTTCTTTTTCTTTTTTTCCTTTTCTGCTTTAAACTTACTTAACCTTATTTTACTCCCTTGATCTGGACAGGTTGATGATCTGGGGTTGTTGGCCTCCTGCATTTTTACGAATTCATCTTTTTCTTCCTAATTTGTGTTTGTTCTTTCTTAGCTGTCCGTTCAAGCATATTCCCAATGCGTTAAATCAGATTTACCTCATTTGACTATAGGACACATGAAAGGAAAATTCGCCTAACTTGTTTCATTGGACTTATTGGAACTCTGTGTTGTGTAAATAACTTCAAATTCTATTACAACTTAATGTCACAACAACAACAACATAAAACCTAGTGGAGTCTAACAAGTGGGGTCTGGGGAGGGTAGTGTGTACACAGACCTTACCCCTACCCTTAAGAGGTAGAGAGACTGTTATCGATAGACCCTCGGCTCAAGAAGATGAAAAGCAACAATAGAAACAAGCATTATCAATCACTAATGCTAGAAAGATAATAACAACAATCTAAGAACTAGAAAATATGCGAAGGAAGCAATAGCAACAAGTCGTAACAACGGCAAGATACTTGGAAACCGAAGTGAAAAACAAGATAGTAGGAAAACAACATGTAATACTAGCAATCTAAGAATACGACACTATCATACTAACCCTGAAACCCAAGGTACAGTTCAAAAAAACGCTCTATTACCTACTAATCTTCTACCCTAATTCTCGGCAACCACACCCTCCTATCAAAGGCTATGTTCTTGGTAAGCTGAAGTCGCGCCAAGTCCTGCCTGATCACCTCCCCTCAATGCCTTTTTGGCCGCCGTCTACCTTTCTCATACCCACCAAAGCCAGTCACTCACACCTCCTTACTGAGGTATTTAAGCTTCTCCTCCTCACATGACCAAACCATCTAAGTTTCACTTCCTGCATCTTGTCCTCGATGGGAGCCACACCTATTTTAACCCGGATATATTCATTCCTAATCTTATCCAACCTAGTATTTTCGCACATCCATTTCAACATCCTCATTTCTGCTACTTTCATCTTCTGTTTATGAGAGTTCTTGAGTGGCCAGCACTCTGGCCCATACGGCATAGTTGGTCTAACCACCACTTTGTGGAATTTACCTTTAAGTTTTGGAGGCACATTCTTGTCACATAAGACGCCAGATGCTAACCTCCATTTCATCCACCCCGCCCCTATATGATGTGTGACATACTCGTCAATCTTCCTAGTGTTTTACTTGTAACTTCCTCCCTTAGGGATGACTTGTGAATCAAATCTCAGGTCCATGTCCGCTCCTTCTGTTGCATCACCAAACTTGCATTCCAAGTATTCTGTCTTAGTCCTGCTCAACTTGAACCCTTTACAGTCTAGGGTCTGTCTCCAAACCTTCCAACTCGTTGTTAACACTGCCTCGCGTCTCGTCAATCAGTACTATGTCATATGCGAATAACATACACCATGGCACCTCCCCTCACAACTTAATGTTGAAGAAATATAAATTGATAATAAACACTAACAAAAAATAGTAAGGATAGGGAGCGGGAGAGTGAATCAATGCGTAAATAAGTACCTTTCCAATAGAATGATAAACCTCCTTTGTTATTGTTAGTGTGTGGTTATAAAGTTAATATTGGGAGTAACATGTGAAAGATCTAACCATCACAGAATAGCTACTTTACTCTCCATTTATCATTAGCACAAACAATATTTGAAATATCCAAGGGTGGTTCGTGAAGGCGAATCAAGACGAGAGAACCCCAAAAGAGTTGTGTTATCTACATTTGATTATTGAGACATGTCTTTCTCTATGTAGTGAAAGTATTGTTAATATTGATGGTTAAAAATGGAAAGTCGGTCAATTAAGGTTCTTATCCAAAAAAAAGAAAGAAAAGGAAAGAAAATTTGAAGTAGGTTACCTGTGGAAAAGAAAAACAAAATTGGAGGTAGGTTTAGTGAGGTGCGTGGAAGCAAGCCAAAAAGAAAAAGAAAAAGAAAAAGAAGAAATAACATTTTTAGTAACTAAGTTGATAATTTTAAATCTACTTCTGAACATGTATTTGTGAAACCGCGAGACCTGAAATATGTTTCTGAATGGTGTTACCAAGTCAATTGTTTGTGCTATTGCATGAGTGTCTGCTTGTTCAAGTGTATTCTCTTATGTAATGGAACTACAACTCTCTTTTCTACCTACTGCATCGTCTTGATGCTGTTAATGAAACTTCTTACTTCATAAAAAATAATAATGATTGTAGCAAGTATTTGGCTGCTTTTACATGGCTTCTCGGTGTTGTATCTTCTTGTTTTTCTTTTCATTAATGTGGTGCTTATACTTTCCTGAGCCGAGGGTGTAACAACCTCTCTATCTCCACAAGACAGGGGTACTACCCTCCCTAGACTCCACTATATGGAATTATACTGGGTATGTTGTTGTTGTTGTTAAGTCAATAATTTTCTTTTCCCTTTCTTTTTAAAATATTTTGTTATTAGCTCAATGGTTTGTGGGTTGTCTGATTGATTGTATTAGTAGAATTTATCCCAGCATAAAGTCTCGTGTAAAGTAATAAAATTCTCACATAAGAAAAAACAGTTGCCACACAATTAATGTAGTTTTGTTTAGTCACATAAGAATAATAATATCCGCATGACTAATGAGAGCGTTTGGTTGATGGTATTAAATAATATCTCCATTACTTATCAAAAATAGTATCCGCATTAAGTTATGCATGAATCTGCATATTATTTTATGTGGAATTACACGTGGAATGAGAATACGCGCAGTAGCAATACAAGAATAAACTATTTAAAGACAAAAACGCTATAATTCTTGCATAGCATTGTTTCATTATTAATCACCGTATGTAGCAATCCTTTTATTTTTATTCACCACATAAATGATCCATGCATTATAACCTGTATGACTAGTTTATGAACCAAAAAGCCCTTTGGAGTTATTCTCCCCAGCCCTTTATGTCCCTTAGTGTAGAGAGTGGCTGAGTGTTGCTAGACTAATTGCTGCCATTAGTATAGAGATAGCTGGTGAAATGACATATTTCCCTTTCCATTTGCCTTCTTTCCCCTTATTTTTGTATGTGATCAATATACTATTCCTGAATTGAAGATCTCGGATTAAATTATTAGGGAAACATCAATAATTGATCATTTAGAGTCAATGTTGTCAAAGGCGTGCTTAAAGCGTGCTTAAGCCCTAAAGCGAGGTTCAAAATATGTTAAGCGCTTCACCTCGCTTAGCGGACGCTTCAGTGTTGTCATCAAAGCTCTAAGGCATACTTTCCCTTACCAATGAGTGTAATCCCGAAGAGGCGACACTGAACAATGATATTTCAGTTGATTGTGATTCTTTTTTAATTTCTTTGTCCGTATATTTGTTATTCACATTTACAACTTTTGGTCTTGGACTATACATACATATTTGTATTTTTTTCTCCATTTGTGTCTTTCTTCATTAAAGCCCACGCTTTATTTGCGGTTTGCACTTAAAACCCCAATGGACTTTAGAGCTTTTTTGCGCGTTTCGCCTTAGATAACATTGTTTAGAGTAACCTTACTAGAAAAATTGATGTTCTTGAGTGAATTTGTCAGGTCTTTGCGCATTAAATACCAACACGATAGGAAATTGAAATCTATAACAGAAGTCCATCCCCCACTCAATATCACCACCCACCAACCAAAAAAATAAACTAAGTACAAGGATTGATTGTTTTTGTGATTTCTGATGCTATGTCCAAGTGTAAGCACCCCAAAAGAACTGGCTGCGTGTTAAAGAGTTTGAGTGGAAGCCTTGGTACCAAGGTTCGAATGCCATCAGAGGCGACACTAGGTGAAATTTTCCTATGTCTAAGTTTAGGTGGGTAGAAATATCCAGTATCTATGTTGGTGGGAGTAGGTACTCGGTGAATTAGTCGAGGTACACACAAATTGGCCTAAAATCTTGTTATTAAATAAAATGTGTCCAAGCACAAGCCGTTAAGTTTGAGGTGGATGTCCCATAGTTTTACTAATTATTTCACCAAAAAAATGAATGTCCCAGACTTTTTAATACTATTCTACTTCCATTGTCGATAAATTGGGAGATAAGTTCGTCTGTGCTTATTTTGTTTTTTTTCTTTCTATTCACCTTTATCTACTTAATTTCAGATAACTTACCTTTTCCCTTCCATTTTGAGGGGGAAGACTAAGTAGACTTCTTTTGTGCAAATCTGCAGACAGTTTCTTTCTTAACGTACCTGTTGAAGAGTTTCGCTGACTATATTAAGCCGCATGAAGAGGGTATTTGTAAAAGCATTGTGAATCTGCTTGTCACATGTTCGGACTCAGTCTCTATCCGAAAGGTGAACTTCTTGAGATGCTGCTTGTGAACCTGATTTCTCTTTCTTTTGCGATAGTTGCAAACTGAACTTTGTTCTTTCAGGAACTGCTGGTGGCCCTGAAACATGTTCTTGGGACAGATTTCAAGAGGGGGTTGTTCCCCCTTATTGACACGCTTTTGGAAGAGAGGTAAACTTTCAATCAGAAGTTGGCTGGGAAAAAAAAGCTCATGCTTTCTTGTGACTCTGCAGAAATTAAGTTTCTTATATGAGGTTGATAACACTGTTTAATGTTCTAAGTCATAAAATTTTGTTCACAAAGTGTCCCCCATTCACCATTGCGTTTAAGGAAGGTGTCCCTGCACTTGTCTTGTCCCACATTACTCGCCTTTTGACCCAGTTTGGCATTACTGGAAATATATTCCTGGTTAGGATGTTTCTGAACTGCATGCAGAATCTGATATGTGGATTGCAGGTGGGCTTATGGGCAATTTTTGGAACTAGGTTTATTGAACTGTGCTTAAGTACTGCGCCTTTTGCGGCAGACAATTGGAAAGGGTGGATTGGAAATAGTATTAGTAGAATAGCCATCAATATTGAATAAAACTGTCGCCGTTCCACAAGAAAAAGAATGCGCTAAGTCGCAACAGCTAGAGGTGAAAGATATGCAGCACTCACATTATCTGCGTCCAGGAGGCAGAAGATAAAGTGACAATAGTATCATACATAGCTTGATTCACACTAGATGGTAAAAGAATAAGATATTGCATCATAACTAGCTTGTTTTTTTTCCGGTTGCATGTACAGTTGCCTGTTGTTCCATATTCTTCTTTTCCCTTTTTACCTTATTTAATGATATAATTTTTTAATTGTTCTAAGGATTCATAGATTTGAGTGCCGGCTGCCTAGTTAATAGGTATGACCTATAACCATTCTCAGAGGAACTTGCAAGTTGCAATGTCCATCACTTTGTCTTAGTAATCACTTTAATTATGCTGGAATTTTAACGCATATGAGGTTATCTTGAAAATGGAGATTTCTAACTGAAATAGGATGGTGATTGGTGTGTGAGTCTAGGAGAATTTAGAATTCTTACCTTCAAAAATCACCCATATTGCTGGATCTTTGAAAGAATAGTGCTGCCACTTCTTAGGCTACGTCTCTTCGTGCTCTTTGACAAGCAAGAGAAAAGAAGTTGTGAAAGGAGAATATAATAGAAAAACAATTGTCGAATTGTTTCTCACTAACAACATACAGTTGGAGGAGGGCTCCTTAGAAAGGTTTTTTAACTCCATTAAATTAGGAAAGTTATCTTATTCTTGAGATTTAATTTAGTAAGGATTAATAAAAAATGATACAAATTTTTATATTTCTTTGTTTGACTTACATAATTACAAAGAATATTTTGCATAATATTTCTATTTCCTCTCAAGATGTCCCCTTAAACTATAAGTAATAAAACTGAATTGCTTATTTTGAATGTAAGAAATACTGATATACTTGTCTAGGGAACAATTATCTTGATTGTATCTTTGGAATAGTCTTTATCGAAAAAAGTATCTTTGGAATAGTGAATGATTGTCGAAAAAGAGTTATGTTGGAATTCTTACCCTTGGAAAGTCGTTTGTAGTTGCACAAAAATGGCAATTCTTGTAGTACGAAAGGAAATAAGTCTGTGCTTGGTTAAACAAAGAAATATGCTGGCACAATTCTCTAGGATATTCACTGGTACTTGGATTGGCAGTTGATGTGTAACTGAAAAAGCTGCCAAAACGATGATCAGAAATTCAATTTCAAAGAAGGGACTTGATGTCCAAAAGAAAAAGAACAAAAGATGACTTTTGGATTGAGACCATAAATTCAAATCTTCAAAGTGATTAAATATCTATACTTTAACATTGTGAAAATAAAGAAAAAATTGAGGCATATGTTTTTTTTTTTTTTTTTTTTTTTTTTTTTTTTTTTTTTCCTTTTTCGAAAGAGTGATTGGAGAAGGATAGTAAGATGTTTAAGAGAATGACTTACTTGAAATATTCCATGGTGTGGTCTAGTAGCCAATGGAGCGGGAGGAGAACCGTGAGGTCTCAGGTTGAGATCCTATAGGAGGTAAAACGAAAACACTAGGTGATTTCTTCCCGTTTGTCCTTGTGGACAGAATTACCCAATAAATGTGCTAGTGGGAGGTAGTAGGTTTCCCGTGGAATAGCAGGGGTGTGTGCAAGCTGGTTCAAATACCACCGTCATAAAAAAAAGGAATGAGGCTAGCAGCGAGGAGAGTGATCTTGACAGCTGAAAATCTGCGAAAGAGAGTAATTACACTTGTTAGTTGGTGCTACATGTGTAAAAGCTCAGGGGAAGAAGTTGATCATCTTCTGCTGCATTGCCCTGTGTCTTGGGGTTTGTGGAGGGAAATCTTGAATCTTTTTGGTGTTCAATGGGTGATGCCAAACACTGTAAAGGAAATGCTATATAGCTGAGCCGGTTTCCGTAGAAGAAGCAAGCAAAAGGTGTGGAAGTTCGCCCCGTTAGCTCTCATGTGGATAGTCTGGGGAGAGAGAAATAGGAGAGTTTTTGAGGGGATTGATTCTCCGTTTTCACATCTTAAGAATAGTCTTTTATCTTTGATCGCTTTTTGGTGCACACATATAGCCCCTACTTGTGTAGAAGATTGACGTCTTTTGTAGAGAATTATGTTCTTATGTAAATTCTCTACTTTTTGGTATACTTCTTGTATGCGGGAGTTTTTTCTCCCTTTTGATTAATACAATTTACCTTATAAAAAAAATAAAAGGGAATGACTCACTTGAAATGTCACGTGAATAATTGCTAAAATAGTAGTCATACTATGTACACTATATAGTGCTCTATTGCACTATATAGTACCACCGGATAATTACCGAAAAGAGTTTTTCTTTTCAACACTTTTGTAGTGGTCATCAAAGAGAGACTTGGTGTTCTTTGACTGATTACCAAAATAAAAGTTGTGTCGCGAGAATGATCAGGAAACAACACAACTAAGCCTCAACCGTGAGTTAGCTGGGGTTGATTTTATTAAGTCTCACTATCCATTTGGACTTGTTCCTTTCCAATATTTAATAGTTGTTCTTTAACAGTAGAGGTCTTCCATTTTTTATATTACGTAGAAATCTCTAAATAGATTAAAAAGACTTTGTGTAAACGCGAGACCAAATGCAAGCGTACAAAATGGTTAAACCTTAATTCCTTCATTTGGTATCGCCCATGTGGATCTTTTACTTTCATTTTTCTTATATATTTTTCCCGAGTTTACATGGATTCCAAGAAACCATAGGTTTTTGAGACAATTTTCTTCCACATGACTTTAGGTCTACATCTTTCCAATTTTTACACCTTCAATCATCATGATTTAATACATGTGGATCGGTGCATTTGGAGGTCGATATAGGATATGGCCAAGCATATCTGAAGCAATATCCGCTTGTTTTACTCTTTGTGTGCTACTTGCTGTATGTTGGAGGTCTATGTAGGACATGAAAATCATCTCAAATGACATACTCTTGTTTTATTCTCAATGGAGTTGTTTGGTTGCCGGGACTAATCCCGGTGTAAAATTTGGGATTACACTCCTCCAATGTTTGGTTATGGGTATTAGCTATACCGGTATAAATTTTGTACCAAAATTTTGTATTATTTATTGCACATTGGATGATTATAATCCTTGATGACTTTGTTGTTGGCTTACCAAATCACTCCTATGTGGTGCTACTTGCACTTTATGTTGTATGACCGCACATCTATCCTCACATCTTTTTTGCGACACATATCTTGTGTATGTATAGCCTTGGAGGCCCATTTTTCATTCCCTTGTTACATTACCGATTTTACAAGCGATCTATAGACTTGTCTTTTCCTTTGGTGGCATCCTTGTATCTGTTTACATTTCCGTTGCACTGCTCCATTTTAACTATACCATTATAATTCTGTGTGTTATATTGTTACATCTTCATCTATCCTACATTTTTCCTAGACATTGAACTTAAATTAAACTCCTTCAGGGTCCTTGTTGGAACCGGCCGTGCATGCTTTGAGACATTGAGGCCTTTGGCTTATAGCCTATTGGCGGAGATTGTTCACCATGTCAGGGGGGATCTTTCTTTGTCCCAGGTATTGCATGTTTTGATACTTGTCCTTTTCTGTAAGAACATGCTGCTGAATTCCGTGGTAGTCTGATGTTCTTGTTGTCTCCTTAGAGATATTTCTTGGTGAAAAATCTTATACACTGGTGAAATGGATAATGTGAATGCATGTGATGAATGGCTTTGCACCTGCTCCCTAGTTCCTCAACATATTGTAAGGTTGTTTGCTTTCGATTTCTGTAACAATTTTGGAAGTTGTTTTCTTTGGATAAAGGCCCGAGGAAACACTTTAATGGATAAATGGGACTAGCTGAATCCTGTTCTTGAAAAAGAAGCTGAAAAGAAAAAGGGGTNAAAAAAAAAAGAAAGAAAAAGAAAAAAGGAATGCTTGAAATGTGGTGGTTGAGCAACTGAACATTAGTAGTATATTTTTTATCTTTGCCCTTCCCCTTCTCTATAATTTGTACTAGATTACTTTGCGTGTGCTTACGCACGGGCCCAACAATCTAAACTTTGGCTAAGTTTGTTTTCCACTTGTTAATTTGTTCTTTGTTATAATTTACTGTTGTATTTTAAATTCAATTAACCTAACTAATTGTTTTATCTTTTTACTCCTAGAGGAATAAAAATAATCATAGGAACATATATGTATTTCTATTGTCAACTTTTTAGAACATTAAGATAAGATAAAGAAAGATAAGATACATGAAAGGGAGGAAATAAACATGTGTATCAATAGCAACCAATTCTAATTTTTTTTAAAAAAATTCTCAAAAGAAGTAAAATGCTTGAATTAATAATGTTAATTTTGTGTACTCATTCTTGGTTCTAACTCTCTTTCTTTTAGATACCTAATTTAATTATGATGTTTTAATAAATTTTGTTATTTCAGTTTGTTGCTTGATAGATGTTATAAAAGTTTCAACCTTAGATATTTGGAAGATTCACTCTTTTCTCGTTAGCTTTATCATCGCTCGAAAGCACGGGATGGGCCTTCCCTTCCTTTACGTCATCCACCACCCTGTTCCCTAACAGCTGCTGTTCAATCCGTCCCTGAGAGTGAGAGTCTACACCGCCACGTCGAGACTCTCTTTCGAAAGGAGCATTCCAGCCCTAGTGTACTTATCCACAGGCTGTCTTAAAGTCCTCTTTGTCTAGGCAGGAACCTCGCTAACCTTCTCGGCCAGTTAGTCTAACCACAGGGATCCCCTCTTTCTTTCTCTTGAAAGATTTGATGCGCCACACGGGTGGGACAAGAAAATTCCCTTCCTTTGTGGTCGAAATCCGATCAATCAATGAAATTTGTTACCACGCAGTGCAACAGGCACGCCTTAGTCTTATTCGAAAACAAAAGCGGATGGACCCCCTTCGTACTACCAAAAAATGAGATTCTTGCCGAATCCAGCTTTATCTTGCTCACCTGAGCAAAGTTACAAACTATGAACCTTTAATACCTTTTTGTGTGCTCCATTCATCTCATTTTCATTTGGATTGTTTAGAAAGTACACTCTTAGTTAATACAGGTTATTAATTGCGAAGTAAACAAAACTTTAAAAACCTTATGTATTCCTCAGAGCTCACTTACAGATTTATTTGGAAACCTTTTGAGAAAATTTTGAATAGATAAAAAGACCTTCAAATGAAATTTAACTTTATAGTAGACAATTAAACTAAAATATGACCCAAAAATAAAATATATCTTTTGCAAAATATTTTTCTTCAACTTGAATTTACCAAACTATTTCATAAAACATTGTGCACGTATTGTACTAACCCAAATATTATTTGATACAGTCGCCATATCAAGAGCTTTTAAAACTAAAATTACCAAAGTTAACCGTAGGAAAAGGTATTACAAGATGATTCGATAAATCTTTTCCTGTAAAATAATTTGATTTATTTTAAAAAGAAAGTCTCCGTTGAAATAAATTAACATCTAGTAGAACTTTTTGTGCATTACAATTTTAAGTAAAAAATCAATCACCACATAAAATAATTTTAGTATGTGATCTACCAAATTAATTTGGAGAAAATTTATAAAACTAAATTACCATAATATCTATTATTAGCTTATGATATACAAAATTAGTTCTTGAGAATTTCTAAACAGTTTGATAGTGGCAGCTATGAGCTTTAGAGTTTAGAAGTACTCATGAATATATACAGTTTAAAAATGTGCGTTTTATTTGTCTGATACACCATTTTATACAGAGAAATACAAGCGGAATACGAATGAAGGCTAATAATGGCTTCAAACATTTTAAATTTTCCTCTAATAAATAATGGGTTGAATGAGTTAACCAAACATTTGTCTCCTCACAAGCATAAATAGAAATGAGCAAGTTTGAATATAAAAAGTTGTCAGGCATGGAAATGGATTATTCAGCCGCAATTGTAAGGGGAGATGGACCCACTCCAAAGCACACACGGTTCCCTTAAAGGGCTAAAAAGTCTGTACAACAAAAATTAATAAAGTTAGCACGGTAATCAACTTATTTGAACCAATCAAAATTCAGAGCCACTTTAAATGATCAACAAGTTATAAAAACTAAATGTGAAATGACAAAAAGAGGCCTTGGTCGGCAAGCTGGCAAGACAACGGCCAGCTGCTTCCAAGGCTCTTCTATATATTAGAATATCAAATTTCTTTTGTGTTTTATATTTTCTCCCCATCTTTGGACTGACTATGCTGTATGCATACGTTTTCTTTTCATCTGTTACTACTGAAAAGGGTTTATCTTGATTTGTTTGTGTGCAGTTATCACGGATAATTTATCTTTTCTCAAGCAACATGCACGATGCTTCTTTGTCGCTCAGCATCCATACCACATGTGCTCGTCTGATGTTAAATCTGGTATGAATGCATTACATAATATCTATTCCCCTGTCATTGCAGCTGTAGTGTAACCAGATGATTTGGACCTTAAGATGGTGGCTAGTGGTCAGTATTCAATTTGACAAAGATATCTTTCTTCCTATGACAGGTGGAACCGATTTTTGAGAAAGGTGTCGACCAACACTCCATGGATGAAGCAAGGATTTTGTTGGTCTGGGCTACCACTGCATATTTCAATACTTTTCTTGGTTTCTTGGACAACCACACTTTATTTTCAGTTATTTGTGTACTAGAACTCATGTCAGTATATTTGTGTTAGGGTCGGATTTTGGATGCTTTTGTTGGCAAATTCAACACGTTTAAGCGTACAATTCCACAGGTAATCAATCTGTAACTCTATCAACTTATCAAGTTTAGGTGTTTGGATGCGGAACAGGAAGCCTGTATTAAACACCATATAACTTATCCCTCATTTGTTTTCTGTATTCAAAGTTGCACTGAACTCTGTTGTGGTCGGTCGTTTTATAGTATCTTGTATAGCTACATGGCCATATTGTGTGGGGAAATTGGAGAATATCAAACTCTCAAATAGTAATACAATTTCCAATTTGGCTCTCCCTTTCTCTTATCCCAATTCCCACCTGTATCGATTGTTCAACCTGACCAGATTGTAATCCAATTTTTAATCCGTGTATTATGATTCCACTCCCCTTCCCAAGCAACTCATTAGAAACTTAAAGATATCAAGTATGAAAAATAGAAATCTAAAATAAAATAGAAAAGAACAGGTTTTGAATTTTTTGAACAATGTACTAGAATAGCTCATTATGTAGAAGTGTAAGGTTATGTAAAAAGTGTAAATAGATATTCTTTACCTCTAACTAAGTAGGTAAATTTTCTACAAATACAAAATATCCTGTGTATCCTTGGGAATATTTATGAAATATTCTTTAATATAGTCTTATGTGTATAGAGATTTTGTCAATCTAAATACATAAACCATATTCTTAGTTTTAAGTTTTAACACGTTCCTCAAACTCAAGATGGTGAATTAACATGAGTTTGTATATCAAAACTAAAATAATTGAGTAAGTTGGATCAGCTTTTATTTCCTTGTCCTGATTGTGACAAAATCTACCCAGTAACAACTAACCATGCAACCGCGAATCTATGAGGAGGAGAAGAATCTTTGGAACATTGATAAAAATGTAACGTTTAGAGGAGGTGACTCAATATTGGATCTCTAAAATCATAAAGGAAGAAAGGAGAAAGAGATTTCTCTTGAAGGGTGACCGGAGATTTGGTGCTAGTGGAGGGACTGAAAGCCCAAACTCAAAAACTACAGAAAAAGAGAAGAGAAGATGACTTTTCTTGAGCAGTGAGTAGAAATTCAATATTCAGATGGTCTGAAGACTCTGGAAGAGTAACTGGAAATTCAATATTTAGCCGAAGGACTCAATACCCAAGATCTAATACCATTAAAAAAAAGAAGTCGTAGAAAAATGGTCAATATGTGACTAGATTAGATGCGATGGAGGTGGTGATGCCAGAGCAGGTGCCCAATTTAGAGTGTTGCCACCGGAGATATGATAAACTTAAAAATGGTATCCTGGTGTGCTATGCTTCTGTTGTGCACGGTTCCCAGGAAGGTCTAGCTCTCATTGGGTCTATTGTATGCAACCTTATTGCATTTCTGCCATATAAGAATGATAAACTCTGTAAAAAAAAGGACGAGACTTTAGCAAGGCATGCGTGCACGCCGGCAAGCGGAAACTACTTATAATTGTAACATATTATTTTACTTAATTTCAATATTAAGAATAGCTCTAAGTTAATTC